TTCGTCCGTCCCCCCCCCCCCCCCCTGGTCATGAAAAGAAATCGCCGCCCCTGATAAAGATTGTAGAAGCCCTAATTGATTGGAGAGCCAGCCAGCTAGCTTAAATATATCCTCTTTTCTGTCGTCGTGTATTTCTTTGTTTTTACTTTGATCTATCCTCTTCTCTTTCTTTATGGATTTCCCTGTTTTTCCTGCTTCATATCCTCTCACTCTCCTTATGTATTTCTTTGTTTTCCCTTTTCTATTATCTTTAATTCCCTGGGTATACGTGCTTTATACACATGTACCATATTGCTGCTGGTGACTGTAAGCGGTGTGCGTTGATGACTCTTTCACCAGAGCACTTCTAGGAATTTTTTTCGCAAAAATAGTAAAAAAAAAATATGCGCGTCCAGGCCGCGTCTTATTTTTTTGTACCACGGCGAGCCCAGATTCCAGTATGAACTCATTTTCATACATAACAAGCTGCGAAAGCTTGCAAAGAGGTCACAAACAATTGGGCTATTATTGCTTTGCTTCACTATTTATAAAGAAAAAAAAAACTAAATAAACTGAGATTCCAACCTTTACGTCAACTCCAAAGTTCTATTAGTAACACGCTGTCTTTACCGATTGAAATGACGATGAGTTGATGACAGATTGATTTGTATAACTAGATTTGTAATACTTGTTTTGAACAAGTATAGGTGGGCTGTTTCAATTAAAATTTAAAGGGCACATTTGTGATAGCTTATTGCCTCAGCTTCAACATACTCGAAGCTCAGCAAAAACGAAACTAAAACGACAGATATATTGCTCGCGAAAGACGGGAATGAAGAATCCAGTTTTGAGAAAAAGTCATGTCCAATAGAGAATACACGCAAAATGTGAAAAATTGACATGCCTCCTTTAATCGCAAAAATACGCCATGATGCCTTTGTCAAGATGAAGGATAATAGTGACTGCATTTGTAGAAAATTGTCTCAGCTAGAACATATCAAAATTTGGAAGAAAATCGATCAATATTTACAGAGATACAATCAATTTTCCATAAATATGCTGACGTCATAATATGCAAATTGGAATTTTGAGTTCGGAGGCCATTTTGATGACGTCAGAAGTTAATTGAGGGTCAAATGAGACATGAAAAAATATCTCCGAATCATACTCTATTAAAATATGAAACAAAATTGGGGTCACCTTGCATCATAAAGAGCTACAATGGATTTTGTATAGGCATGTTTTTGCCCATATATGCTATGTATTACAAGAGCTCGCGCGAACGGAAATTTTTGTTAAACGGTCGATCATTCCCTTATTAATAGTCATAAAGAGACAAACATGGTATCAATTTGTTGGTAAATATATGTGGAATATTATGAAAGAAAAACAAATGGCGATTCTATGTTGTGCAATAGTTTTACGCGCGAAAACGCGCACGCATGCGCGTGTGCGCGATTTTTTACAAAATGCTTAGAATGGCCTAAAACGTATGCAAAATGATTTTAAGACGATTTTGAGCTTTTCGAAATTTTGCGCGCGCATTGACGCGCGGACGTACGCGTACGCCTGCGTTATTTGACCTGAAATTGACCGGACGGATATTGACCTTGATCATGATAAATATGAATGAGAAATACCTTTTGGTTATGAAGATATGATCATGAGTTGTTTTCATAAAATTTTACAAAATGGCGCCTAGATGACGTCATCAGTAAAGGTCAATGTTGAAAACATATGTACATATGCCTATACATAATGTGTGCCAAATTTGAAGGCATTTGATTGAGCCATTTTCAAGTAATCGTGCTTACAAAAAAGTGGTTAGATGTAAGAAAAATAAATAAATAAATAAATAAATAAAGGCAATTCTAACGAAATTATAAGGTGGTCTGTACGTTATACAGCCCACCTGATTAGTATCACCCTATTAACCACCCTACCGGATTCCACGTGCGCATGCGCTGGCTTCCTATGCGAATGCGCCAGGGCCAAAGCAGCTAGCTAGTGAATGTTAACCATTGTGTTAGATCATCATGGATGCTGTCAGGCAGTACTTGATCATTGGGGTTTACCCTGACACTTTCTCCTAATTAAACCAGAAAAGATCATTAAGACGAAAGGCGGGCAATTTTCGAATAGGCAGCGATGGGATTAAGCTATTATAATATTCGAAAACATAAATGCAATAGTGATGGTCGTGAGGTAATGTTAACTAAAGAGGAACAGGACCGCATCTTGCGTTGTCTTCATGTTGTCTTCACTATATGGGTCTTGTCTTTTTGTGCATGCTACGTGTCTTCAAACAATTGTATCATCTAACTTGAAGTATAATATAATGACTGGGCTTTCTGAGAGCAAGTTTGACCTGGCCGGGCCGGGGGCGGGGGAGGGGGGGGGGGGGGGGGCGTAACATCTAGGCCACGGAAGGTCCATTCAACGCAAAAGTTTTACTGGATAATCACTTGCATTTAAATAATAGCGCTACAAATCTGCTACTCTACTGAATTATAATTCATGCAAATTGGTATTCTATTTTTAAATATTCATTGAGAGAGAGAGAGAGAGAGAAGGGGTTGAGTACCGTATACGAGAGGAAAGTTAAAAGGTGAGGAGAACCATGAAGGACAACCACCCCGATGACAATTACCCCCACCCCCCCGAAACTTACCACCCTTTTCATTATAGGGGAAGTCAGTCTCCACAAGACTCTTCACAAGTATACATGAAGTATTAGTGATAATCAATACTATGGGAAACAACATTACACAAATTAATTGTATGATACTTTAAATACGAATATTTTATATAGAACATAATACATAATGAATTCGTGCATCCTGGAACATTAAGAAAAGCGAAAATTATGCACGCTAGACAATTATTAATATACATGTAAAGGGAGAGAAAGAGAGAGAGAGAGAGAGAGAGAGAGAGAGAGAGAGAGAGAGAGGGGGGGGGGGGAGGGGGGGGGAGGCGGTAAATAGAGAGTGGAACAAGGAAAACAAAAGTGATGGGGGTAAACAGATGTGAGCACTGATACGAGAGGAAAGATAAAAGGTGAACAAAATAGAGTCGGCAGTGAGAACGAGAGAGAGAGAGAGAGAGAGAGAGAGAGAAGATAAAAAGAAAGAGAGAAAAGTAATGGTATACTGACATAAAAATAGAGAAGGGAGAGCCCGAGAGGGATGAATGAAAAGATAGATGAAACTGGAGGAAGACCAGGGTTTGTGTGAGAGAGAGACTGGAGATATGCACACTTTAAGTCGATTTTTAAGTTGTAGAACGCATTTCGCCAGTGGACTGATTTCGCCGTGATATACGCGGCGATATGCGTCCGACCCAAGACACATATCGCCGAAGACGGACGTGTATCGCCAACCAATTTTCGGCGTTCTGTGTCTTAGGACACAGAACGTGACCCGGTCACTCTGGCCCCTGACACCGGTGAAACACCGAAGCGCCGTGAGCAACTTGTATGGTGGATATGTGCGCTATATAAATATCAAGTAGTATTATTATTAATATTATGTAATGCTATAGGATATGGAATAGCAAGTTACTCTTTAGGGACTTTTGAAACATGCAGTTGATTTCACAGTTGACTTCACTTTGTTGTTTTCACTGTTGATTTCACATTGTTGTTTTCACTGTTCGCAGTGCCAACGGCTGTGTATTATTATTACATGGCCCTGTGAAGCGGGGGTGCTGCAATTTTTTTTCGTATGATATATCCCAAGACGAAAATCCAATTGAATCCCATTGAATGTCCCCATTGAATCCAATTTGGAGTAAATGGAAAGTGAAACAATGGGTACCCATTGAAACCAATGGGGACCAATTGCCAATTGGTTCCAATGGGGACCAATTGCCAATTGGTTTCAATGGGTACCCATTGTTTCACTTTCCATTTACTCCAAATTGGGGACCAATTGCCAATTGGTTTCAATGGGTACCATTGTTTCACTTTCCATTTACTCCAAATTGCCAATTGGTATTGAATTGGGATTCAATGGGGGCATTCAATGGGGATTCAATTGGTAAATCGATCCAGTTAGAAGAACCAGTAATAAATTATTGATACTTCATAATCGATATTAGCAACAGTCCACCAATTAGGTATATTCCTATCTCATTTGCATTAACTTCATCACAATGATCATTTGAAGTGAATTCAAGAGTTTCATTTACAATGACATCGGCTCGTACAAATATATATACTAAATATGTATATTGTTTCTTGGTTAGTAATCATATAATCAATATATAAATCAATATATCTATTGCTAAAACGTAAATGTAATTGTCACATGATCAGACAAAATAATCTATTGGTTAATAATTGCTGAAGGAATAAAGAAATCACAAAATTGATGTGCATTGTCATAATTTGCTTAACAAATCATGATAAATTTATTTTTCTGTGACACGTGTAAAGTGATAATGAATATTCATGAGATGCCTAGATTTGTTGGTTTCAATTGGCCAATTGGTTTCAATGGGACCAATTGAGCTGCCCGAATATGAGTGTTTTAATATCTTTTCTCGTTTATTTTGGTGATAAATAACACTTTCACAAAGTACATACGCTCAAATTGTTGCTCGCTCGCTTCGCTCACTAGCCGAATTGTGAAACCAGAAAATTACTTTTTCGGGCAAGAGGCTATAACCCCCCCCGCCCCCAGAGATAAAAATGTCAAAAATTGTACCGGTATGGTGCTTCTAAAATGACCTTGAAAAAAACGGTCTGCGCAATTTTCAAATTTCCGGCCCCCCCTATTGGAAAATCCTGGATCCGCGCCTGGAGCGCATAATTTTGTGCTTCATTTCTAGAATCTAAGGCCTATTTTAAGAATTGGGGCCCCAATATAGCCCATTATACGAAATACAAAACTTTTGTTGTGGGGGGGGGGGGGGGGGTGCATGATATGACCCTCTTGAACTGGCTTCGTGGTATTATGGATGGTGGTGGTATCATATTTCGCACCTCCGCCGAGTGCAGAGGCTCAAACGCGCGCTCGTTCTGCGTATATACGTGGATGAGGAAAGTTTGACCGTGAACACAGTTATACAGTGCCTCTTGCTGAAATTTGCTGAGTGGTAGAATCCAGACAACCACATTCTAGATATGAGTAATTTACCCGGACACTGGATTTTAATTAGTTTACATCTGTGATGTACTGCATACGAGGACAGTGAGCTATCTCTGTGGAAGTTTGCCATAAATGGGAGGTAGAAACTAGCGCGAAATGTTTCGCAGAAGACCGACTGTGTATACTTTGCTTCTTCTGTTTGCACTTGCGCTCGTCTTTCTATTGGTCGCACTGTACAATGATAGAACAACAGACGATCGCCATGGTCCGATAATTCACAATGATGGAGTCTTGAATATTCAGCAGAAAGTTTTAAAGTTTGAACTGCGATCAAAGAAAGGACAAAGGCCCAGTAATGGTAAGGAAGATCGTCACATCATTTTCATCATTATTTTCTGTAAAAATAATTTGTTAAAGAGAAAACGTCGCTATATGCTCAGTCTTTTCACTTCCTTTTAACAGTTTAAGAAACGGTAATGTGTTGTACATCCCACGCGAATTCACCCCTCAGTTCATCTGCAGTGCAATGGCGATCAGATCTCATTTATTAGATTTTGTAATTGTTGGCACTGTTCAAGAGAATGGTTTATCCATGAAGTAGATATGTATCTGTTGATGGGGGGGGGGGGGGTCGAAAAGGAGTACAACCCCACCATTAAAATGATACATATTATTGATTAATCTTTGTACCATTCTTTTCTTCTTTCTGTTATTATTTTCTTGTTCTTGTTCTGATTTTCACTGTGTTTCAAGATTATTTTCAGACTTGATCCTTGTTCTAGCCTTTCCTCTGAGACAGATATTTATCATGTTTATGAAACACAAATTTGGAACAAGAAATTTCCCCTCAAAAATATAATATTCATTTTGGTAATAACTGGGTAACTGAGCTGCAGGTGAATACATCAGTTGTGATAAATTTTGCAACAAACTACACATTTTCAAACCTCTGCACTGTTCAAGGACATGGGAGGCTTGACATGATTGCTATGCCATTAGTGTTTTTATTGAGTGCCCTTTTGCCACCCTCCCGCACGGAGGACATTTACAGTCCAGAAAATATGATCAACTGCAACTACAAGTCAACCTTATTTTTTTAAAAATTACAGACAAACCAAGCAAGACACTACATGCAAGCAACGGCAGTGAAGACTCCTACCTCGCGTCATCCAGCAACTTCTCGGACGATGAGGTCAAAGAGCGTCCCAGCGACCTCACCGGGGACAACGCAGGAGAGGTTAGGGTATCCTCGGACGACGACCCACAGGAGTCCGAGGACGATGTCGACGACGACGAGGAGGGCCAGGTTGATGCCGCCCCGAATCATTTAAGAGTGCTCAATGCACAAGCCAGAACTAAGAAGCTGCAGGCAGATGAAAAGCCAATGGAGGAAGAGAAGGCAGGACAACTTAAAAGAGAAATGGGACTAAAGAGACGTTTCTGGCATGAATGGGACGAATATGATAAAACAGCATGGAAGACGTTGCCGTTGGTAACCGGTTTAGAAGAGCCAGAGGTGAGCTTGCATCCTGGGACCTGTTTCACAAAGCCTTTTTTCAATGACAAATGACAAAAATCAGTGACAAATCTGCTGATAACCAATCAGAAGCAAGGATTTCAGTAGCATATAACGAAACCTGCCATTTGTCACTCATGACAAGTTTTGTGAAACGCCCCCCAGATGATATCATTTCTCTCATAATAAGTTTTGTAGTGTGCATGAATGATAGCAACAAATTTTGCATTTATAACTTGTAATTTCAGGGATGTTCACAAACATCGAATTACACGTGAAAATGACGAAAATGGTATAGTGTTTTTTTTTAAAACAAGACAATTTCGATATCCTTAAACTGCTGGTCGAACAGAGCAACAAGACCAAGCTCTGTAATTATTAGGATCTCTGTCCAGTAGTGCAGAGAAGAGTCCTATCTCGCACCCCGGGGCAACGTGTCTGACACGGCCGGTTGTAGCAACTACTCCGAAGATCAAGATTTAATCTTGATCTAAGGAGACACGAACGAACGAACCAGAACTGATCTTTATCTTTAATATAACTTTAACTAACCTTGTCAGGACGGGATTTTATTTTAGGGCTAAATTGAAGACCCATTTTTCTTTAAATTAGAAACAATAAAAGAATTTGTTTACCTTGTTAAAATAAATTGTATGTGAAAAAATATACCTGGGTGAGGATGGTGTCGAAAAATTGGAAACAAATTGCCAATTTTGATTGAAAAACAAATTAATTTCAATCTCTCATCGTGTTGTCAATTTAAGGATTTTGAAATAAAATATTATTTTCCTTTTTTTTAAATTCCTGGCATCTAATGCAATATAAACATGAACCAAAAAGGAAGGCAGTATGCGGAACTTTTTTTTCTGAATCAAAAGTTTAGGGGCAAAAATCACAAAATGTGGAATGGTTGTCACCAAAATTATAAGTTGTAGGAAAAATGGGGAATTTTTCTTATCAGTAGAAAAATTGATATTGGTACTGTCATAAAGAATGATAAAGAAAGGTCATGAGAGAATTGGCAACTTTTCTAGTGTTTTTTATTTTTTCCATTGTTTTTTATGTCATTAAGAGATTTTTTCCTAGTTGTTTAATTTTGCTGAATTGTTTTAATCTGTCTGGGTTTTTTCCTGCTTTTTTGATAGGATAATATTTGTGGACCAGACTTCCATTTCCTACTGGATCCTGTAGGAAGTCGAGTATCACAAATTAACCAGTTAATTTGCGTCTTCATCAGCCCGCAGTTGCAATTAGCACGGTATTTGGTCGAAAAATATCCTGAGAAATCTTGGTCTTGTTTCCAAAATATCCTGCTATTTTGGAAATGGCGGGCTAATTTGCGCCCATCCAAGCTAGTTTGTGATGAGCGTATCGGTCTGGTGAGAACACAATTTCGAGCTTCGGGATAATATCCTGAGTCTGAAAATAGCAGGTTATTTGGCAAACTCGAGCTGATGAGGACAGGCCTAATGGGATAATGGGATAACGATCCCAGTCGATATTCATGGTCAGTTGAACTGGTACAGTGACCGGGTACTTCATTTCTCCTTTATCTTCCCCCAAATCCTTTTTGACAATAAACAGATGCAGACGGGCGATGCAATTTTTTACAACAGAGTGGGAAAGTGCGGCAGCCGATCGGTCATTGCAGTTCTGAGACTGTTGGCTCTGAAGAACCGGTTTCACTTGGTGTCTTCCTTAACGTACAATGCAACAAAACTAGTTCCAGAGTATGAGGTGAGTATCCTGTTCACATTCAAGATTCAAGATTCAAGATTCAAGATAATGTATTGTCTGATATAAAAAATACAGAAATTCGTCCTCCACTGGCGAGTGACGTAACATATACAAACAACATAAACAATATATAAATACATTTGAGGATACAAAGAAAATACAACAATAATAATAATAACAATAATAATAATAGCAATAATAGCATTAACAAAACATATTTCTTTCTTCAAGATTCATTCCCTGTCCAATGATCTCTCCATCTTTCAATTTCTCTGTGCATGTGTCTGATGCTCTCCAAGTTTCTATTTCTCTTTATCTTTCTCTCTGGACTCTTTTTCTTGTGTTTGTAATTTTCTGTTGTGTTTCCATTTATCTCTGTTTCAGTTTCAGTTTCATTTATTTCATCTCAAGAGATCAACAGATAAAAATACAAGTATAAACAGACAAATGTATGACAATACATGAGATGAATTATAACAAGTGAGGAAGGCAGTGGCCAAAAAGGAAACAAACTTTGTAAGAGGCCAACCCTTTAAGAAAACAAGATATACAATATGTAACATAAAACACACAAAAAGGAACACAAAATAAGATAAAAAAATGAAGTAACTAACCTAATAAACAACTAACAAAAGAGCCTAATATTGAATCTAATATTTAGATAATATGCGATAAAGACATAAAGAGACGGAGAGATAGAATGGAAAGTAGCAACACGACTACTCTGAATCTCTCTGTGTGTATGTAGACTACTCTGATTCTCTGTGTGTATGTTGCTCTCATCGTCATCTCTCTCTCTCTCTCTCTCTCTATCTTCCTTCCTCCCTCCCTCCCCCCCTCTCTCTCTCTCTCTTTCTCTCTCTCTCTCCCCCTCTCCCCCTCTCTCTCTGTCTCATTCATATCGTCTGTTTGAAGCCAGAAGGGTAGCAATCCACTTTAATAACTCGTACACTCTTTTTCTGAACAGCAGTGTCTAGAGCTGTCTGTCTCCTTTTCTCACGTTTCTATTTTCCATTCTATCTCTCTGCCTCTTTATCCCTTCATCTCATAAAATGATGTTGCTCTTTCTCTCTATGTCTATCATTTTCTTATTCTCTTGCTCTCTCTGTCTCTTTATCTCATGAAATGATGTGGCAATTTTTCTCTCTGTGTCTCTCATCTGAATCTCTTGCTCTTTCTCTCTCTCTCTCTCTCGGTGTCTCTTTTAATAATGTTTCTATTTTCCATTCTATTTCTCATTCGCTTTATCTCATAAAATGATGTTGCTGTTTCTCTCTCTCTGTCTCTCATTATCTTATAATCTCTTGATCACTCTGACTCTTTTCCCTCATGTTTCTACTTTCCAGTCTATCTCTCTTGTCTCTTTATATGATACAGACCAGGGCCCTGTATTACAAAGAGTTGATACCAATCGCAACTTATTTGTGATTGCACATTCTGTTTCTTTTTGGATATCAAAGGCAACAAGATTATGTTACTGTTTCCATTTTAAAAACCAAAGTAAATAGGGGATAAAAGGGTTGTCATAGTGCTGATCAATACTGGAAATGTGTAATCTTGAAGAGCTTTGGTGTTGCATATACCGGTAAGCAATCCTTCTGTCAGTTGGTGGCCATTGTTTTGTACCGATTCGTATGTGTGGCACACTATAGATTGTGCCAATTGGCACTTATTGCAAATGAAGGGTTAAGTTTTTACAAAAGAGGTGAACCCTGAACAGAGATTCAGGAACAGAGATAGTGATCTTGTTATCAATTTACTAGCATGAAAGAGGAATAGAGTGGAGAAGTGTGACGTCATCAAAAATCTATAATATATATGTCCTATGGGAGCTCAGTGTTATATGCTCTGGCTCCTAACCATTAGGAGCCAGAGCATATAACACTGAGTTCCTATGGGGAGTATATTTATTCAGATGGTCATATCTCAGCCAATATTTAACATATTCAATTGGTTTCCGACATTTGGACATTATTTTTGGTGTTCTTTCGGAATATGAAGAAAAAATCGAGAAATTCTAATAATAGATTTTTATGACGTCACAGCTTCGGTACTCTATGTCAACAGTAAGGAGGCCAATGGTAACAAGAGATAAGAGGAGGAATGATAATTAACAAAACAAGTACATTAAAGGGGGTGTATCATAGCAAATACTCGTAAACGCCATCTAAGACTTCTTTTGGACAACTGCACGTAAACGAATGGACTTGATTTGCCGTCAAGGCACGCTAGCATTCGCGGAACAGACCGATGTTTTCTTCACGCTTCGGTTTCATGTATGTTGCATGCACGTAAAATACTGTGGTCGCGTAGTTCGTAGTCGTATTATACCCTATTGGCCCTGAGTCAGGCCATGGGAAAGACACGTAGTCTCGTCATGCTACGCCCCCTTTTAAGGTATAGGTGGATCAAATGGAGGGCAACTGAGTGCAGTGATCAAAGTAAAGATTATGATTATGATCAGTGAAATGTGTGTATAAACTAGTTCGTTACATTCACATTATTTTCTTTTTGCAGTAACTAATCATTTCGAGGATGTAGACTCATTTAGGTACTGCAGAGTGTATTTCACTTCCCAATTTCTTTACATGTTAATATCTCTCCCTTTTTACAAAGGTACAGGTGAATAACCCTTATAATCCAGTGGGAACTTCTTAATTGATTTCATGTTTCTCTTTTTATTCCTTCATAGAAAATGATGGTAACAGTTTTAAGCCAAATACAAAAACCTTACCTTTTCCAGAGGCATGTCTACTTCATAGATTTCCGCAGGTGAGTGTCTTTGACTTTGTCAACCTGGGACCTGTTTCACAAAGCCTTTTTTCAATGACAAATGACAAATATCAGTGACAAATCTGCTGATAACCAATCAGAAGCAAGGCTTTCAGTAGCTTATAACAACTGTCATTTGTCACTGAAGACAAGTTTTGTTAAACACCCCATCTGTTCAAGGTAACATCCACCCAGATGTAGAGATGGTTTTTAATCAAAGCAGGAAATTGAGAGAAAAGGATCAGTGAAGCTTTGAGGAAAATCTGATGAAGAATATGAAAGTTATGAATTCTAAACTGGTGGTACATGTATATCACTCTGTAGTGACCCTGAGTGCATAGTTTATTTCGCAAAAAATGGTTCAATTGGGGGGGGGGGGGTAGATGGAATGTAATGATTATCAAAGTAATATTATACCACCCTCCCAATGCTACCACTACTACTGACAATCTGGTCGCTTTTATACTTCTTTAAAATGCATATTAACTTACAATATTTGTATATGTGTATTTTGTTTTGTATAGCGCCTTGAGTAAGTTGTTAGATAAGTGCTCTTTATAAGGATTTATTATTATTATTATTATTATATATTGAACATAGTATCATATACAGAGCTAAATATTTGTTGGTGATAGGTACACATATAAGATATGTCAGATTGCGTTAGGTTATGATACATTGGGTTAAGATAGATGAGTGTGTGTGTGTTTAGGGGAGGAGGGAGGGGGGGCAACAGGATTTACAGGGTGCACATTTTCGTTTTCTAAATCATATATAAGCAGCAAGTAGAGGCCTCTTGGAAAGGAAAAGGGATTAACGGATTAAGGAGTAATTAATTGATTATTACTGGTAGAAATACAAAGGGAATAAGGGAATAAAGGAATAAAAAAAAGGGGGGGGGGGGGTAACTGTTAACAGTTACAAATTATGGGTAGGACATACCTGCCAACCACCCCGATTTAGGCGGAGTTCCTCCGCTTTTTACATACCAACACCGAATTCCGAGTGCATGCCTCAAAACTCAGATTTTTATTTTAATTTTTTTTTTTTTTTTGTGTGTGTGTAATGCACTTGGAGAGTATATAACTATTATGTTTGTATTTTGAAATGTAAAGCGTCTTGAGCATGTTCATGTAAAGGCGCTCAATAAATACCAATATGTATGTATGTATGTATAAGACTAAAGCATAACACAGCACTGATAACCAGATCACGCCGACATCCGCGCTTGCGCTCATAGAAGATGTACACAGCGCAGCCCGAACGTGATCGTTAGTTCCGCAGTCACCCCATGTGTACCCCCCCCCTCCAATCTACGGGCTACTACCCCAATCCTTCGGTGGTTCGCAACCTCGTAGTCCATCCAGAAAAATTTACTCCTAATTTCTCTTGTCTCAGGTTGGCAGGTATGGTAGGAGTTAATAAGTTAACCCCATTGTTTTTCTACCACTACCAGTAATAATCAATTAATTACTGCTTAATCCATTAATCCCTTTTCCTTTCCAGGAAGCCTTTACATACTGCATATATACAGTCAAACCTGTCTGTAGCGACCACCCAAGGGAAACACAAAAAGTGGTCTTTGTAGACAGGTTCCTTTAGTACATGTTTTAATGAGAAACCATTTTTCAAGGGAAACAAAAAATGTGGTCTTTGTAGACAGGTGGTCACTAAAGCAGGTTTGACTATATATTCAATTTAGGGAGGGGGGAGATCCTCCACTGGAACTATACTACTAAATACATTCATTGTTCCGTTACAGATACGGTGTAAAGCAACCAAAGTATATCAACATAATCCGGGACCCCTTATCGCGGATGGTATCGCACTACTATTTCCAGCGCTTTGGAGATGGTAAGAGTTCTAGGAATTATTCAGGAAAAGACAAGTATCAGGTAGGTGTGCCTCAGTACTCTTTGTAGTACAATTTCAGTACTATATTACCTTGGGGGTGTTTCACAAAGATCTTAAGTTGAACTTATCTCTAAGTTGGACTTAACAATTATGGAAAGCCATTAGCATCTATGAAAATATTTTGTAAAAGTTATTTTAAAAGGCATAAGATGTTGATTCAAATCATTCATATTTACTATTATCAAGGAGATTTCATGTTCTTGATGTGGAATTTATAGAAAGTCTAAAATATTAGATTTTTCGCTTTTGAATATATTCCATTGGCTCTCTATAATTTTGAAGTCCAACTTCGAGTACAGTTTAACTGAGACTCTTTGTGAAACACCCCCCACCCCAGTACTATTTTATTGTTATTCTCTGTATTATTTCTCTTGTGTATATCCTATTCCTATTTCTAGTGCATTGGAGATGGCAAGAAGGTACAGCTAGGAGTATATAGGCAAAAAATGTCAGGTCTTTTTAAGTATCTTTACTGTGCCTCTATACAGTCCATTGCCGTTCATTTCGTCTGTCTAATTCCCAGTTTTATCTAAGGCCCATTTTGTCTATCAACCATATGGTCTAATAATCTTTTTAGTCATGAATAGTAATAATCATCAAATGATTATTAGACCTTATGGATGGTGAACAAAACGGGCATTAGACAAACTGGGAATTAGACCGACTGGTTATTAGATTAATGAACAATAGACCAAATGGGTAGTAGATTAATTGAAGATTAGATCATATGGAAATTAGACCAAATTACTACTAGCCTAAATGGTTATTAGACCAAATGATTAGTATACTATGTGGATAGTAGACAGTCTTGGTGTGGACCATATGGGAATAGACTAATTGGGTAGTTGATAAACTGATTGTAGACTAAACTGCAATTCACTTTGTGCACCAGTACTATATTCCAAGCACTCTGGAGCTGGCAAGAGAGAAGGGGAGTTTTCAGGAGAAGGTATAAACCAAAACTTATAGGTTTGTCTCATACAGGAGACTCCAGACTTTGACATTATAACAGTATATAGGTGAGCACTGCCAGACTATACACCATTAATCAAAACAAAATCTGCAAGTAGTTGAGTTTCACAAGTTTACATGGAAGTACGAATTTACCTTGACTTGATCTTGACTTGACCTGTGTTGTTTAATATATAGGCAGGATATGAGCCAGTTTGCAGGGACAAACTCTTCTCAATTTCTGTCATAAAATGTGAAACAAGGTCTAGTCTGGACTGCACCACATACATGAATGTTTGTTTGATAACTGTTATACCTGACTGCTCAGAGAGTATGTGTATTCTTGTGAGTAAGCAATCATGAGACTGGTGGCTTTAAATCCTCTCTGAGGGACTTTGTAATGAGGATTAATAGTATGGTAGTTATTGAATCATATGCATGTGGATATACATTGTATCTTAAGTTAAGATCAAGTGTACAATTTAAAACAGTTTCACTTACATAATTATAAATACACGTATGTATCACATATCCTTAATTTAGTACCGAATGTAAAATAAAAGCAAAGTAGTTGTAGTAGTAGTAGTAGACTTTAGTGGATAACTTGTTTAGCACAGGGCTAATCTGCCACAAGGTCCATTGCACATAAATAGAAAGCAAGTTAAATATACAACAGTTTAACACATACAATAGCATTAAACAATACAGATGACAAAAGTTTACAACATACTGAAATGAAATATACATTAATTGATTACAATGAGATACATAATTGACATTTGGCTGATAAGAAATACATGCATATGATAAGAAAATTATAAACTGTTTTTTCATTTATTAACTAACCAAATAGAATAACAAAATTATCACATATTCTTTTCAAAAAACAAAAAAAAACAGCAAAAAACTGTGTAAAATATATGAACAAGAACGAAATAGGGAATATGTACTTTAAGTAAAGTATGAAAGTGAGGAAGAGAGAAGGGAAATATGTAGAAAAAAGAGTTTAAAGAGAAAGAGAGGAGAAGAGATGGAAAGCAAGTGAGAAAAAGAGAAAGAGAGGATAAGAGACTGAGAGAATAGTGAAGAAAGAAAAAGAGCAGAAAAGATAGAGAGATGGAGAAAGAGAGAGGAAACAGAGAGAGAGAGAGAGAAAAAAAAAGAGGAATTAGGAAGAGAGAGTGGGAGACGAGAGGTAAAGCAGGGGGGAAGAGAGAAAGGGGGATCTTATCAATAAAAGTATGCATTGCAACACTGAATAGTATTAATAAGATGAACAAAAAGTGCATTGCCAAAGGGCATGAGCACATGTATTTGGTTGCAAACCTGGGTCCTCCCTTTGACAAGACCACTACTCTTCCACTGAGCCATCATACCTCCTCAAGGCCCAGTATTTAAGTGTTTTGACAAAGCCAGGGACTGATGACTACCAGGCTGGGTTTAATGCTTTATGACATCCGCAGGGTTGCTTCCTATCTTGGAAATATGGTTTAAACTAGAGGGCTGCATGGTTCCCCTTTTCCCAGTCATTCTGAGATTTTCATGGTCGCAGCTACCATGGAAAGGTCTTATTTTGTTACTTGAAATGACTCAAATTTTAATCATAATCAATCTGAAGTTTTCTGTATAATAGTCCATCGGTCATGTCCATCACCTACCTAATGGCCCCCAGGCAGATTATTATACCCAAGGGTCATAGAAAACAGAGAGAGAGAGAGAGGGGGAGGGAGGGAGAGAAATAGAGAGAGAGATAGAGAGAGAGAGAGAGCATAGCCTGGGTTCAAATTCAGTTCGGTTATTTAACCTGTTGACTCCTAAATTATCTAATTCCCATAGACTTAACACAGGGACCACCGGGTTCCAGTAAGCAATGAGTTAAATTATTAAACCTAGTGCTGATGATCATTTATGACACTACATAAAAATAGTACCAGAGTGTCATCAAATATTGGTCCTATGTCATTGAGACGATGAACAAATAAAAATAATAATGCATGGTCGTTAGTCAAGAGAATGTCAAGTTCTTTTTGTCTCTGCTATATAATTTGAATAATAGAATCAACTGTTAAACAAATTTATCATGAGTCCTGAAATTTCAATTTGTTTGTCATAGAAGTATTAAAGAGCAGCCATGGCGAACGAGCTTGTCGCTAAAATTCAGAAATCGTTGCTTATAAAGATTGCTTTTCCCCAAAATTACCATGAGAGTTATCAAGCTACATAGAGCTATGAGTATCTTGTCTTGAAAACAGTCAGAAAACATTGCAACTAGAATGAATAAGAGATAATGTGATCATCTAAACAATTTCTTTTTGTCCATGTTAATCCTCCAGTACCAAATACCCAAGCAAAACTCTATATTACAATGTTCCCTTTTATGGATTAGGTTAATTCATTTTCATTTTTGAGGGGGCGTAACAACTGCTTTAACATTCCTTTTCCATGGCAATGGTCTTATTTTGTCACTTGAAATGACTCAAATTTTGATCATATTCAAACATACATCTGAAGTTATTAGAAGCTTACTATTTGCTTCAATATTTCCTAAAAAATTCAAATATTTTCTGATTCATTTTCATTATAATAGCCCATGGGTCAAAAAAGAAAGTAGTCATTTGAAATTATGCAAACTATTTTTTAATCCATCAATTTGTAATCAAGTAAACTAACAGAAGATCCTCCTAGAAATCAAAGGCTTATCATAAATTAATGCTGGAAATATTAAAAGTCACAGATTTTAAATGAATTCGCTTTGCAAAAAGTATACACCAAATCGCACAAATTGAGTTCAAAAATTCAATTTTTCTTCAGCTACGGCGGGGAGGGAGGGGGGGGGGGGTCGGAATTGGTACTAAGACACCGCTAAATATTTTCTCACAAATTAGGCCCCCCCCCCCTCGCTGCCTGCTTGATCTGCCCCTGGACTGCAGCCCTTGGCTTATGTAGACACATTACATAAGCTCTTCCTGCCCTTTGACAGATTACTTTATGTTGAATATTGTACGTACAGCACTGCAATTAGAAAAGCAGCCCGTCTAGCTTTTAGCAGAAGGGGTCCAGAATTGATCAGGAGTCTTACTTGTTAGTCAGAGTCATTAGAAACTTGGTAAGGCTTCACTTGAGGGGCATTGGCAAATTTGGCGGTCTGAGGCTTCATACAACGAATGTGCCATGTCCCTTTAATACATGAAGGAAGTAAAGCCTAGTGTGTCATGGTGGCTTCAACATAGAGACTGTGTCTGTAGACTATGAACCAGAGATATCCCTTACGTAAAGGAAGTAAGCTCAGTGTGTTATTAGGCCTGTCTTCACTAGCTCGAGATTGCCAAATACCATGCTATTTGAACTATCCAGCTAATTTGCGTCTTCATCAGCCCGAAGTTGCAAATAGCGGGATATATGGTCGGGATTGTCATCCTAAGATATCTTGGGATAGTTTGCAAAATATCCCACTATTTGGAAAAATATCCAGCTATTTGTCCGTTGCGTTTTCACCAGACCGAAGACTCGCACTATGCGCGAACGCTGAGCAAAATATCCTGAGCTAATTTCTCAAGGTCGAGTTTCAAGTTTCGAGGTCAAATCTCTAACTGATGAAAACGTGATTTGTAACTTCGGGATTATTTCCCAAATCAGGAATAGCGGGCTATTTGGCAATCTCGAGATGATGAAGACGCGCCTATTGAGGCTTGGGGTGGGGAGTGGAGTGAGTAAGAGGTTATGTGGGAGTGTCGGTTTCATTGCAGCACTTTTAATAAAATCTTGAAAGGATGCTTCTTCACGATAAAGAAGAATTTGAAATCTTTGTACAACTGCCTGGCTCCCTATCGAAAGGAAAACAATGCATATAGTTTTAGCTTTGGGCTAGTTGACTCAACTCCTTGACTACGTCTTTTTTTGCTTTGGGTTAAGTTTGCAATTTGTACTTTGACTCTCGTTTACTGATGCAGAATTACTACTTTGTGATAAAGACAAAACAATTGTATATAACATATTCTTATGAAACTGAATCAAATTAGATTTTTTTTTT